AATAGGCCACAGTGCCAATTATAGATAATGATGTACAAAATCTATTTATTTTTATAATCATATAGGTTTAATATTAAACAATGAAACATTTAAACTGTGATATAAACTTCATTCCATCAAAGTTTTCTTCACAAAACACTATACAACTAATTCACATATTTCTTTCAGGATAAAAATTTACATTATATTTTGAGATAATATTTATTATTACTATGTATCTGTAATCCATACAAACTTTAAATTTATTATTCTTTCTATACTAAAATGATTGGTGATATAACTTAAATAATTTAGTAGAAAGCCAATGTGAAATGTACATATTGTTATCTAAATCAAGTATATTTAAAATTATATTCTAACCAAAGATATTTTAAATAAAAGTCCTCTGTTAGAGGCTTTACTTATCTCACCTATCTATTCCAATTAGCTCCAACCCTGAGAGCTTAAGCCTTTTTCCATGAGAAAGCCAAGAATGTAAGATATTTATGCACCGTTAGACGTTTAAGATTAAGAATATTATTATCCTTAGATTATTTCGCTACTTATTAAATTGTGCACATTGGGATAATGATAAATGTAGCAATAAAATTTGCTCACTTAAGGACAAGTGAAAATCAGAAATACTGCAAATATGAAATGTAAGTTATTTGAAAGAAACCTAACAATCTTTTTTCTTTGCAAAAATTAAAAAAATAAACCCTTTATTTTTAGTGCTTAATGCATGTAAAGATAGATGACTCAATCTTGGAGGAAAGTGATACCAAAAATTTCACTGGAAACATTCTGAAGAAGATGACATCTTGTGGGTGTATACAAAATTGAAAATAAGAGACATTGCTATTTGGGCCAAATTGTGGTTCAGAAGAGACATTTGGAAAAGTGAGGTAAAAGTATTTGCACAGATCAAAGGAAACTGTCTCAAGCAAAATTTAATTTCCAATCTAAAGTATAGAAGCATTTCCATTTCCTACCTGTAGATATTTCCATTAACAAAATGTTTCCATTAGCAAAGTACATATTTGCTTGAGGTATGTCAATATGTTCCCTAGAGACGTTACGTTCTTTTGATAAGTGATGCCACTGCGCTGAACTGAAATTTATTTGTACCATTTAATTCAAATAGCAAGCTGTTAAATCTTATAATATTCAGCTCTAAGGATTCTGTAACACTCAATTAATTTCTGACCTGGGGGCTGAGTTTCTTAAATGGAAGAAAACACCATAGTCATACCACATGTATGCTAGTGCAGATGTGCACAGAGTTGTGAAAATGTGCAAAACTGCTGTTTCAGCAGGTATGAGTGTCTCTCTGTGTGTGTGTATGTGTGTGTGTGTGTGTGTGTGTGTGTGTGTGTGTGTGTGTATGTGTGTGTGATGTGTTTAGACACCTACAGAGGCCATAAAAGTTCAACAGGTGCTTTGGAGTTAGAATTGCAGGCTATTATGAGTACTAAGAGCCAATCTCAGATACTCTGGAGGAGCAATCAGCAATGTACTCTTAACTGCTGTATCATCTCAGACCCAATTGCCACCTTTTACCCACAATTTACAAGTACCACCAGCCCTTAGTCTGCAGCCCATAGTGTATTCAGCATAGGAAATTACTTCCCTTATTCATTAAAGTTATCAAAGGTAAAAGCAAGAGTCTGTAATATTTTAGCAGTCTCTTGGACAATCTCTTTTTTTGTTGGCCACT